TATATATATATATATATTATATATATATACATACAGCATATATTTATATAGTTTTGTTCTTCTATCTTCCTTTTTATATTAAATGTGTGTGTGTGTGTGTGTGTGTAAGAAACATTTTCTTCATGCAAGTTGCTGTCTGAAATGCTTTTCCGCCACTATTTAATTAACAATATTATAGGATTGAATAGGATAAATCGGTCCTGATCATCGGCTGTTTTTAAACAACTAGCTGATGGTGCAAATAATTGCTTTTATTGGCCGATATATATATACATAACTTAAATGATTTTAGCAAATGGCTGCAATATAACAAAGAGTGAAAAATTTAACGGGGTCTGAATACTTTCCGTACCCACTGTATATATATATATATATATACGTGCAAAAAAGAAAAGAAAAAACAAAAAAACTTAATGATCCTAAAAACTAGGCTTAATGCAAGATTTAATTTCTTGCTCTTTTTTTTTACTTCGGATTTTTGGATGAAATCACCTGAATAAATTCCTTACAGGTAGCATTCACTCTTATACACAATCATCAGTATTCACAATCACTGCATGTTAATGTCAAACATTGAGTCGGTCACTATTATGCACGTTTGTGTCTTGATTTAACAGCGTTAAAGCACAATCTCCACTGAACAGCATGTGGCTCTCTGTGTTGACTAAGAGTGTGCACAACTCCAACACCACACACAGACCTCAAAACTCTGAAAAATCTGGGCATTTTAGCCCTGATTCAGTCTGAACCTGATCTCATGACAGACATTAATTCAGATTCAATCACTGAAATATGCTGTAATACGGCCCACTGGTCCATATACGTCACCCTCGCTCCTCGATTAGAGCCACAGACAAGCTAGTCAACGTGTTTATGGTGTGAGATGCTGTTTGCGACAGACAGCAGAGATGAAAGTATCTTCAGCAGCAGATGGTGATAGTGGCACATAGTGAAGAAGTGCTGCATGCTTTTGGGGTTTTTTTGGACAGTAGATCATGCAGCAATCTGTTAACCATCAGAGAGTGGAAAATAGTGTGAGGACGCAAATATAACGCTGTTGGAGTCACGGCCTAGCAGTCTGTGCACATGCACCAGCCGTGGTGCTCATATGGGAGCTGCAGGTTCAAATCCAGCCAGTGACAAGTCTTGATAATCAAATGCTGAGTGAAAAACCGTTGCAAGTTTTAAAAACAAAGAAAAACATTTTAAAAACAAAGACCTGCACAAATAAAGTTTATTTAATGTTAGTATCACTGAAATGCTACTCTTATTTATATTATTATTTTGAATGTTTTTATTTTTATCTATTGTGATTAAATTTTAATTTTTAGTTAGTTTCAGTATTTTTTTGTTTTTGCCATTTGTATTAGTTTTTTTAAGTGCGTGTGTG